AACGCGTCAACTGCAAAGTAGTACATATATATATATATCGCCTAAATAGATACCTTGAGGGTGTATACGTCTTGGAAGTTTTCGCTGCACGAAATGAATCGCGGCAAGCAGCGCAGACAAACTACACTTAAACATCAAGAATCGTCATTTCGAATGCCACTATTTGATTTGCTCGAGCGGTTTCCACCTCAAGCAAGAGTTTGGAACTAAACCAATATAGCGCGATATCAATTAGAGTTGCCGAACGAGATGGATGCACCGGAACGTCGTAGGTGTATACATATATACACGTATATACACGTGGATCGCATGAGGTTACGGGCGCGGCTGTCGCAAATAGAAAACAAACTTCCACCCCTATACTTACTAGATACATATACGCAATAGTTTTGGGCTTTGGGCAATTTATTATTATAAGCCACGAAAAAGTATAACATAATGCACACATATGTGTTTGTAAGTACGGGTGTAAAAAGCCCTCCGACTGATGAACGAGCGGGTGCCGAGTAAATAATGGGCAAAAAGAAAACTTTCGGCCGTTACGCCCCCGTAGATGTACAAAGGGGGGGTACAACATCTGATTGTACAACCAGAGTTGAGCCCTTGGATGTATGACAATAACCTTCTTTTTTCTCACTCTCTCTCTCTCGAAACTCTTTTGCGCTATACATGTTATGTACTGGTGCTTCTTACGTTTTATGCGTCAAGGGCAAAGAGACCCTGGTGCCCCGGGGTTGGGTTCTCGGGTGGGCTTTTTGCGCGGTACCTTATCACGCGCCGCGGCACAAGTACAGCTCCAAGATATCGCGTTTCCCAATTAAGCTGGTTTTTTGATATCCCAAGTAAATAACCACCTCGACCCCACTAACTCATTGCAGGGGAGAAGGAAGAAGGACAAAAAAAAAAGGCTATTTAATTTCACGATTGCCAAAGATTTTGATTTTTCCATCGTGCCTGCGCGGCGATGATGGGTGAAATCAATAATATATAATCATATATCCGCTACTTAATTTCCGAGTTAAAAATGACTCGCTAGGGATTGCGACGCGTAGGTATACAAACGTAGACGCAAAGTCGTAGGATCTTATCGGAGAGAGATAAACTTTTTCGGCGACAAGATTTATGTAGGTATAGGTGTATACCCCTACAGTGTACCCTTGGCTCTCTACCGTCGGTGTACCCCATACAATACTAACGTATAATATATCTTACCACCGATACAACAAACTGCTTTTGAGCGTTACATCGTCGTTTTATCGTTTTCTCCGGGGGAAAGTGTAGGCAACAAAAAATAATCCACGTCGAGCATACGTGGTTGCTTCTTTTGCACAGAAAAAAAAAAAAAAAAAAAATCGTGCCATTAAATCAGTAAATCAGTCGTGTCGCTCGCTTGTCTCGGCCTATATACGCGGAGGAGCTGCGCAGGGAAACAAAAAGAACCGAATGCGCCAATAAATATTAACGCCGAGCTCAGCACGACAATTAAAAAAAGCAACAAAAAAAGTGTGGAGAAAAAGAGAAAAATAAATTATCTGATTTATGAGAGCAGCGAAAACGCGAGCCTAAAGTATTCGCGTTTTCTCAATGGAATGCAGAAGAAGGGGAAAGAAAATTGGTCACGCCCTCGCATGCAGTTGAAAAAAACGAGAGGATACATATATATATATATATATACTACACGCGTATGTATTGTCCAAAACCGCGTAGGTATAGCGTATGTATAACACGCGTACTTACCCTCTTGTAAATGGCGACATTAAAAATAACGAGGGCCACAAAGGGGAAGGCGTAGTAGACGAAAAAGTAGGACCAGTGCACGTAAATAGCTATGTAGAGCTTGTTCTCCCGCAGCTCCGTAGGCACGATGCAGAATATCGTTACGTTGCGCGTCGAGTGGACCTCCTCGCTCAGCTCCACCTCCCACAGTCTGCGCCACCAAACATAAGATATTTCACAATTTAAGTACATATTATATCCATAATAATATTTAGCTCATTATTATACATCACATGATAATGTGTAGGTATAGGCACAATGACGTATATAAAAAACGTAAAAAATACTTGTACGTATATATATAACATAAATCTTCCTCGCTGTAATTACAAAGAGTGGCTTTACGGCCTCGGGCAACGATTTAGTTTTATCCATAAGCATATTATACGCACGGGGACACGCACGTGTACATATACGTACACGTGGTTGTTACTAGATTTATATATACGCACGTATACTGTACATGTATATACATATAATATTAGGTGCGCGCGGTATATACATAACGCGATTTCGGATCGTTATCATCGAAATGACAGTTGTACCTATACCAGTCGAGCCGTTGATATCATTTTTGCGGCGGCCGAAATGGCCATTAGACTAAAAGCATCGGCAGCCCACGATATACGTAATAATCGTACGGGCGCGGTGTATATATATAATATCGTCCAGTGGCAGAAACCGCAGAAAAAGTACAGGTAGAGACGCGTGCCCGTTATCAGTTAAAATCGTATAATTGCCGATATAATTATAATTCCGCAATCGCGGCCAAAGCTCCTCTCCACGCGCCGCGACAACGAATGGCTCTTTTCTTTCGCGCGAAAATAATACATCAGCTCGTGCATTATGCGCGCGTGCATCAGCCGAGCGGCGACGACTGCAACTTCCGCGCGCGAGCTCAGCGGAAATCTCACTTGGCTTCGAGTAGGGGGACATAAATTTCCGCCGTTGGAGGGAAGCAGGAGATAAAACGATAACGAGAAAGGAAAACGGGGTATACCCACTCGTGAGAGCAAAAAAATGAGCTTTCAGCCGGACCGATATATATGTATATGGTTGCTGTCCATTCAGAGGTCACGTCATCCGTGTACCCCCTCCATGTATACATTTTTTTTTTTTCCTCAGAATGTCTAGTTTTGCTCGAGTTTTGCCTTTGCCCGATGAAAATACTATCTAAAGTTTAATCCATGAGTTTTTCGGACATCTAAATTGTTTGTTTTATACTTTATTGGTGCAATTACAGAAAAAGCAATATCCTCGCAGTTTATTTTTTGTTGGAAAAACCCATTTGTCAAAGCTTACAATGTACGAAATTCCGAATGGATTGGCCTTTCAGATAACAAATTTTCTCCGATTTCCATGACGTATGTTTTTTTTATATAAAAAAAAAAAAAAAAAAAAAAATTATTTTATAAAAAAAAAAAAAAAAAAAAAAAATTATTGATTAAAAAAAAGTTGAAAGTTTGTTCGCGATAGTTCGCCAATCGAACCCCCGCCTACGTGACCCTGCGTAACTTGGCAAATTTTGACAAAAGCTCTCGGAAGGTGGATAGTTGGAGAAATATCGGTGAATTTCTTAGATCTGTCTCATCAGGTATTCATCGAGTGAACGTAACTTCGTAATAAGCTCCTTGCATCATGGGTACACGGCCCCGGTGGGGATGGAATTATACATGTTCATTAAAGGCGGCACCTTCAGGGTGACGTTTAATTGCACCTTCGGATAATTATCGTATAAATTATTTCGAGTATTCCTGCAATATTCTGCATCTCGTAAAAATCGACATAATTAATATAAGTATAACCGTGGATGAATTCAGTTTCAATAATCGAGATATGTTTGCACTTACGGGTATACTCGGTAAAAACGATGATTTACGGGGGTTCTACACGCGCGTGACGCGTAGAGGGAAAATTTCGTCATATTCGTGGAAACACACACGCACATATTGTTGATACCACCCCTTTTCTCGGGAATAATATATCATCGCCCGTATACGCATAAAAGTGATTTATATGAAGCAAAAGCAAAAGCAAAACAAAAATTCGCCAACACCCGCTAATGTACATAAATCAGAAATAAAAGTTGTTTGTGCGCTCCCATCATCATCTTGAGCAACAAAGTCATCCCTACAGATAATTCTTTTGTTTTAACAATCAAGTACAACCGTATATCTGTATACGGTTATCGAAAAGCAGGAAAATCGTCAACCACCCCTATTGAACTTTGAGAGCTAAAATAAAAAAACGTGCCGTGTAAGGTGTAGGTACATGATATAAATATAGAGGCAGGTGTGTGCGTAAAACAAGCATTTCTTTGGCGAGTCCGGCGCTACGCCGATATAATAATAATATATACATATAGCTGTACAGCGAGGTATAAGTTTTGAAAGGAGGCGGGGGAGCGTGCCACTGTAGGAATTCCATAAAAACTGCACGTATATACCTGCAGTATATATTGCAAGTTATATGTATCGTAAGATAGGTATACATATAGAGTGCAAAAGGAAAAGCACTTCCATCGAAATGGAAAAGTGTATGGTATAGTTGAAGTGCGAATGGTACATGTGGTGACACGTACTTGGGCAAGTTGTAGAGCACGGAGCCGAGGACAATGAGGGCGAGGGCGGTGCGGGCCCTGCCGTAAGTGCAGAGCGAGCGGGCCTTTAGGGGATGGCAAACGGCGACGTAGCGCTCCATGGTGACAGTGAGGGTGAGGTAGACCGTGGCCATTTGGGCGGTCGTAGACAGGGGATACAGGTAGCGCACGATCTTCGGATACACGTAGAACTTGTAGTTGAACAGGCAGCCCGTGTACGCGTAGATGCCCGACAGCCCGTAGACCAACACCTGTTTGGCACAAAAAAACACCACATTTTACTATTATATCACATAATTATATTATATAATACATTATTGGTACCTCCATATGTATACATCACGTCACATCACTTATATATTTAATACTAATAATGTGTATCGCTCTGCGTAAAAGCTTAAAAATGCAATTCCCGTTTGCGTCGCATCAAAGTTTCATTATTACGCTTCTCACCTATACAATAGCTAAACACGAGCGGTGCTGCAATCACAAGTGTATATATACATATATATTCTATCATTATATTATAAATTATATACATATACATAATATATATGTTGGTCCGACCAAAACGTCTATGCACCCACCCCCCATTCCTGTATACTTATATTATACATGCCATTGGCAGGAGTAGGCTTCGTCGTATACGATATTATTAACGTCGCGCCATTGTATCGATGGCAAGGACCAAACGAAACGTATCAATTAGAGTACAAAGGACGTGGGGATACTTATATAATTAATTTTCACGAATCACACGGATCCCCATCACGTCTCCGCGGTTAAGTACAAAATGCGAAGTGGGGGGGGGAGTGAACATTAATTCAACTACACGCGACGATGGACGCCCGCTTTATATATATATATACACGGTGATGGTAGAGCTATTTCCCTTGAGCTCTCCTCCGGGCATTAATCTTTCGAGCCACACTGGGTGTTGTACGGCTGTACACAGACGGTATGTAGGTATAATACACAGCGAGACAAGGGGTTATACTCACTTGCGCAGTAGAAAAAGACAACGTACGGCCAGACGCGAGCGCTCATCGGCGCGTTTAATCGATTAGATTAATTGAGGCGGGCCCGACCTTGTTGCTCGCCATTTGAACCATCGATCAATTTAATGTATCTTGTTTTTTTTTTTTTTTTACCGATTTAGGGTTATTTGTATAAATATTTAAGTAGCCCGTCCGATGTATTACATACACATGTGGCGCACACCCGAAAGCTAAAGGGTATAGATGTGCACGTTTCTTTTTTTACGAGAAAGAAAAATGAGAAGTCGTTGGGAGTACCCTCCGAGAGCACTCGAAGCTAATTGCACAATATCCGGTAAATAATTATAATCGTCCGTTTAGCTTCTGGGACTCATGGGAACGGAGTATAAGTCGGGGCTCGTAGAATAAGAAGCGGGAGCTGGGAAAGGGGGATGCGTCGATAAACTGTGGATTAATTTCATTTTTTTTTTTTTTTTTTTCATATAACTATTTTTTTCCCACCTCAAAGTAAATAAATAATGAACAAATTTCTACTGTTAAAGCTAACAGTTAAGAAAAAAAATTAAAGAAGCAAGTANAAGTGTGCCAATGGAGGGAAAAATGTACCGACCCACGTAATAATCTTGTAACTTTTTTTCCTTTATATATAATATATCATTACTTTTATTGACTTTTAGGTTGAAAATTATATAATATATATGAATAAAAAATCACGGTCTTGATTGAAAACGAGTTTGCTCGCTCGAGTAACCGAAAGTAAAACAGAGCGACTTGTTATTCGAGTAGCGGATTGTTGAGTTTGCAAGGTATTGCATTAACTTTAACGATGTATATTTTTGCTGTTTGACTTTGATCCTCGCAACGGGTCGTCAAGTGGGACGGAGCAAGCCATCCAGTCGGTCAAATCTGCCGCGGCAAACTCTGGATTAAAACTCTTTTTTTCGATTCCCAACTTGGATTGCAGCGACTCAAAACCTCGGATCCGACAGAAGGGAGGGACAACAATTCCACAGCTAATTCAATGATGGCGCGCGCTTCCCGCGACGCACAGGCAAAAGGTGGAGCACTTGCAATGTTTACTCTAATTGACCCACGTGAATGCGTATAAGCGTTGAAAAGCTTGCCACTCGACGGGGGACACCCGATAGGGCGATAAACTCGCTCGCTCGACCGCGATGAAAAAAAAAAAAAAAAAAGCCGCGCTGTTGCATTTTTCTCTCCCCGGCCCCCTCCGCGTTTTTCCAGTACTCGCATTCCATACGTGCGCGCGCGGGAGAAAAAAAGGAAGAGCAAACGTCTGTCGTCTCTCTCTCTCTCTCGAGATGATTAAAGCCCGGGACGTGAGAGCAAGTATAGGTACACGTATGTGAGCCAAGCTCGCGCTCGTCGTACGTGTCGGGTGTTGGGACGCCGGGTTTAGCTCTCATTGGGGAGAAAGTAATCTAGCAATAACGATAACTTATATAGATACGCGCGGCCGTACCAACTTGTCTCGACAAATCCTCCCCCTTGGATTCTCTTTCTTTTCTTTTCTTTTCCATCTATATATAATATGGTTCTAAAGGGTTTCCTTTCGCCCTTACACTCACTTACACCTACACTCTCCGTATGCGTTCATTTGCCCCGGGTTAACTTCCACCTTGGCCAAAATGTATTTACGCAGCCTGCGAACTTCACACAGCTTACAGCCAATTTAGGGACCACCGCGGATGTCCCGCCCCCTTTTTCTCTTTCGTAGCGACTACGAAAGTTAATTTAACCGTTGGCGCGGGCGGACGGTGAAATCACACCGGCGCTTCCACAGGAAAATCACGATGATTTATGGGCTCATCCGCGCGAGATAAGTATCAAGTTTGAAGGCAATGTCAATACCCGCGCCGTCGAAATTAATGGGGGATACTTCAACAACTTGGAGGACGCCATGTACAGGTAACGCGTGCCTAATAAATTGAAATCCTCGCAAGCGAGCGATTGTTAGGAAGGGAGGGAATAATTTAGCGATGCGCTCAAAAGGGGCATACACTCAAGCTGGATGTTGTAAGAATAGCCTGATGTGAATTTAGCGGCAGGTGCTCTGTAAACCCCTATCAAGTCGACGCGAGCGTACAATATATCACATGGCAAACGAGGGCTCCCGGAAAGAAAATATGCAAATTTGTCCGGAAGAAACAAGCGGGGGTCGCTTGGATGATGTTTCTCTCCGTTCGCGTTGATTAAACGCGCGCGTCAACTCTACGCTCCATGTAACGGCAGGAGGTGGCAGGTTTTTTTTTTCCCCCTTTTTTTTTCTAAAAATAAACAAAAATACCCGTTCATAAATACACAACCCGTCGTACGATTACTGTAAGTGCCAGTATAATTATACTTAATCGAGTGAAACGAAGTTATTGGCGTGTACGTGTGTAGGTGCACACTCGAGTGTAGCGCAGCTTGCCGTGACGGTTCTATTGTACATTACTCTATAGTTAACGCGGACCCAATGAAACTGTTGGAGTCGAGTGGTTTCCGTAATTAACGACCCCCTCGTCTATACGGCACGTGCATGCACACACATGTATGTACCTATACACTTGCATCCCGTTCCGACTGTTTGCTCTACAATTATACACTCCGATGTATACCATTTTTATGCTACTACCGCGTGTCAAATGATTTACTCTCGAGTGTCGAAGTCGAGAGAAAAAAAAATTCCTTCCTCCCTACGGAAAAAAAAAAAAAAAAGAAAAAAAGAAAAAAATGGAAAAGCCAATCGTACTATTTTCATTTCGTTGAATTGCGCAAAAGTGTTATTACCCTGGAAAAACGGCCAAAGTGGATTTGCTCTTTCTTTCTCCCCAGTTGGAGACAAAATGTGCCAGCACCTATATGTATATATAAGGAATAAGAGCAGCTAGGCGCTGAGAAAAAGTCAAGAGTCACGTTCTCCCCGACGCGTTATCCATGGACGTATTCATTTTCGAAATAGAGGATCTAGCCGAGCGAGATCGGGGGAGGAGTGATGGAGTGGATGTAATTCACGTAATTTAGCGATCGAATGTTTGCATTTACATACTCGTACGTTATACACCCTATACCGGAAAACAATAACTTCCTGCGACCCTCCCCCTTTTTTTTCGGTAAAATATTGGTATAGTAGATGTATTGATTTGCCCGGCCATATAATATACCAAATTATAGATCAACAGCACCTATTTCGTACATGTGATGTATAACTCAGGCGCGAGAGCAATTTCGACGTACATTAGGGATAGGATGGGAGGGAGAGAGACAGATCAAACTGCGTATAGGTAAGTTGTTTGGGAGTATATAGATCACACTGCCCGCTTATCGCGACGACAAAGAAGCGCGCCTATGGATCATACCTTATATACATATACGTGTAATATACAGTTACACGAAGAAGAAGAAGAAAAAGATTTGGGGGGTGCACGACTTACGGACAATAGAATGAGGATGGTGTCGCAGGTGGCGAGCCCGATGAGCAGGTAATTGATGGAGGACTTCATTTGGGGCCTCGACAGCACGATCATCGATATGGTGTTGCCGACGATACCGAGGAAGCTCACGGCGTTCAAGAGCAGCCCGTAGATGAGGAACTCGAGGAGCCCATCTCCCGACTCGAGGCTGCAGTTGGTGTTGCCCGAGTTGTCGGGCCCCAACGTCACCGCCGCGCTCCAGTTGTCCGGGGACTCGGAGCTCCAGTTTCCCCAGGCCATCCGATCCTCCGGTGTCATTGCTGCTGCCGGTCGGGTCTCCTACTCACGGGCTGCCGACGCGCTGTTGTACAGGCACAAATCAATTTAGGCGTACATTTTATACATTTTAATATGTGAACTCGCTCGCTCTTTAATAAAGGAATGTATGGTGTATAGGGGAGGCGAGGGGTAAGTACTCGTCCCTGCGTGGGTATAGGTTTTTTCCCAAAGTGGCAAAAAATTACCTCCCCCTCGCTACTCGCGCACAGAGTCCTTTGTCCCGATGGATCATCCATCGCTCCCTCGTTTTTTTTCTTTTTTTTTTTTTTTTTTTTTTTTTTTTCCTACCGAGCGTTATAGCCCCGTTTTTTTCTTATTTATCGCGACCACTCGAGTTTAACGGACTCCTCGGCTCTTGCCGCACCAAAAGTTGGCCCCTTCTTTTCATCGTCTTTCTCTCTATTATTTTTGAAAACGCAGCTCAAACGAGAGTGTGCGTCGACAGTCCTCGAATGCCATGCTCTCGTAATGTATAGTACAAAATGAATTTTTTTTTTTTTCAACACCCCCATCGTGACGCCTTCGCAAGATAGACTCGAGAGGGAATTTCAAAAATGGCCCTCTCTCTCGACAAAAGCATATTACGCGGTGAAATGAAAAATTCAAGCACCACCAAGTTTGCAGGCATATTCATAGGTTTTTAAATTCCCCCCCCCCCCTACCCAACCTGTACATGTGTATGCAAAGCTCCGTCAGAGAAGGCCCTTGCAGAGGCGGCTCACGAGCTCATTTTTGTCTTCCCTCCTCGGTCCATCGGCTTACTGGTGTAATTCAACCGACGCGGAATTTGATAAAAACCCACTTTGTCTTTGACGACGCGACGGACGGGAATTTTCAAATTACTCGCGTATATATATATGCAACCCACGAGTGTATACCGAGTCGCCGGATATAGGTATTATGCATATACGTAACTGCCGGGGAGTGATAATGGCTCGCGTGGGCAGAGAGGGACAGCTGTTGTGTATGCTGTAGCTGGAAGTTATTGGCAACACGTGCGCCGTGCAATCCATCATGAGAATATGGGTACTTTACGCCCTTGCCAGTCGTGTGTGCATACACATATTTGTTCGATAATGTGCGACATGCCGCGGTATGTTTCTTCAATTTTCGGAGCTGCTATAGATAAGTAGTAGATTAGCTCTACCAACTTGTACGATTTCAAATGAAAAGAAATAAGGTAAGAATCCTATTGTTTATAAATTTGCTTGGGGGATTCCTCCAATACTTGTTAAACACTATACGCATGGATGGGACGTACATACATCTAATAATGTATTATGAAAATGTTTTTTATTTATTTATTTTTCCTTTTCAAATAAACAAGCAGCGTTAATTGAGAAAGAGGAGGGTCGGAGGGCAACTGCATAACAAACGCAGTGGTCTTAAGTGATTCGGCCAGCGGGAAATTAGAGAAAACGAGAGAGAGAGTTTAAACACATACACCTACATAATATATATATAGTACAGAGTTATCTTGTGCGCGTGGTTCTTACGTTATACCCGAGTGGTGGGGCTGGCATATAATATGTGCACAAGAGTAGCCCAGGGGCGTGCTCCTCATTTAGATTTTCAAATATTTACGTCCCTCCGGCTGTTTTGCTGTTTTCATTTCGGATTTTGTATTACTTTGCCATTAACCACGCGCGTTAACATTACGGCACCGTTTAGCTTGCCCCTCCATACGGATTACGAAGCGGTATAGTCGAAAACGTATCGCCTCTTCGTGTCCGTATCCCTTACGAGAATCTAATTTCGTTTCGTTTTTTGTTTTTCATTTCTCCCCTCGAGAATTTTTTTTTTTCCCCCTCCTGTACATCGAGCGCGTGTCCATGAAAATTTATACGAGTTTCAAGCATTGTTTTTTTTTTTTTTTTTTTAGCCCATAAACGTGAGTAATGCGCTCTCGAACTTTATTGCATTTTGCAATGATACGCGTGTACTTTTCATTATTGATGATCACGCAAAAGGAAAAAAAAAAAAAAAAGAGAGAGAGTAAATTTTCGAAATAAAAAATTACCGCTCCCGGGGCTTGAATAATGCGCGAGATAGCGCGAAAAAGAGTTATGGGTCCCGTAAACACAAAAGGGGAGACAAAAGGGTTCTTTGTAGGTGTGGGTGTGCACATCGAACGAGCCGATGATGGACCGAGTTTAGCCAGACAAATTTATTTCGCAACTTTGGCCGCAGGTACATGCTTCAAGGAGAGGTGGGTTTACGCGCGTATTGTACTGTACATGCGTATACACGTAGTTCAATGGGTGCGCGTGCACTCGCAAATTATGATGATGAAGATAATAATGATAAATCAGTTTAACGCTCGTATTCGTATCAAAAGCTATCCATCTTCATATGTGCATCTTCTTCCACTGCTATCCTCTCACCAGCTTTTGGGCGCAAAAAAACTTACAAAACTCAACGAAAGCGCGATTATACCGGTTGTTCGGGAAAAAAGAGGCGGTGGATCTATTTGTTGGGAAAACAGAGCTACATACTCCGTTGAAGATGACATAAAAGGTCACGAACGTTTCTCGAATTTTTCTTTGCCTCGTGTAAAAAAACAAGAGCTCCGAATAACACATGTTTCTCTACAGTCGGCGCTGCGACGACAGCTTATATATAAATAGCACACGCATTTAGGCGTGTGTACGAAACGTAAAATAAAGAAAGGAGGAAAAAAGAAAAAAGCGGCTCTGGACCAATCGGATGCAGATAATTCCCGGTACTACGGGAGCTTCGATGCGGCCACTTGTCGGTGTCAGTCACGGTTCGACGGACCAGCCATTCCAGGTTATAATTGGAGGAAAGGCACGGGTTTTCTCGATAAACCCGATGAATCGCAAAAGAGAGAGAGAGAGAATCCACGGGTCCGAAATATCCCCCCCGCTCCGTCAGCCACGGCGAACTCGCTGACTCACGTGCAGGCGGGAAAGAAAAAGATAAATCGCTATAGCTATACCAAGCAAAAATCAACCTCCACGGCCGTCCGTCTCGACAAACAATTACTCCGCGTAACATCGGCCATCGGCCCGAATAAACGCCCGACGACGCGACCAGACGATTAATTTATTTAACAATCGGTCAGTTGTAGGTACACCTATATAATATGTCCGATGACTCACGCCGTTTCGATCGATCCCACCGCGGACGCGTAATAAATCTCAGCTATACTGCGCTCGACAGACCCCCGATGCGAATATACATACGAGCCGGACAATTAGTTAACAATATATATATACGTGTACGTATCCAATGCATGTGGCTCTGCTTGTAGAGATTCACCCCGAGACGGGCAACTATACATATACATGGATATAATATGTGACCGGAAGGTTGCTCCTTCTATACTACCACTGTCTTGACTCGGTGGATATGGAAAGGAAGGAAGAAGAAAAAAAATCGGGGGATCTTCTTTTACAATTCCCCGATATATTACTGCTATACCATCACCATCGGATTGGAGATTCTCTTCGGATCTAATCTACCGCTATGTGCTTTCCCTATATATACGACATCATGCCTAAACCCAGCCACTGCTATTATGTGTATAGGGTATATAGGTATTATCCAGAGATCGAGTCGAAAATCGATTTCCTATTTCTTCTAGGCTTCTTCTACGCTCGTGTATGTGTGCACCAAGTGATTAAGGCACCTTCCTCCTCGCAGCTGTTGTACAGGAATAATTAAGAAGACTCGGCCGACATCGGATAATTGAATTAGACTCGGGGCCGCATGTACCGAGCGAGCGGTGTGTCGGGAATCAGTGCGGGAATTGGTTGGACTTGATTATCGTCCGATCGGATTTTGCAAACGATGGCGCCTTTTTTTTCGCCGGCGCGTGTTACGTTTTGAAAATCACGCCGGGGTGACGGCCTGAAAAATAAATAGAGTGCGTGTGTGTGTTCTCTCTCCGAGGCTCGGCACGCTCGGGGTCTCATTTTCTTCGGAACTTTATTATTCAGAGCGCGGGGTAGATTGGAGTCGCGAAAAAAAGCGATAACGCAACTCTTTTTTCATTTATTTATTTATTATTTTTTTTTTTTTGTCAACCCCCTCCCTCCAAAGCACTTTGCATGTGAAATTTTGGGTGAAAATATTCCACCGGGGGAAAATTGACTCTTGCGACACCGTGACTCTGTGCAAAATGCCACCGGCGCAAATTGGAGGGATGTAAAAAATCAAATACCCGAGTGCCGTTTTGTATATTTGCCGAGTCTCCCAAGAATGTTTCGATCAAAGTTTTACTCTTGTATAAAGTCAATCTTTTTTTTGTTTTTTCTTTCTATAACGACTAGGGGAGTGAAATTAAATTCTTGCAAAGTAACAAATTATAGATTTTCACAACTTTGCAATGCACACGCTAGAATGTAATTGGCTCCAAGATATTTACCCTTTGAAAAGTCCACCTAAACCGCCAACGATTCCCGGAAAAAACACCACCCGCATCGGAGTCGATAAGCTTCCAGATAGAATTTCCACCCCCGGCGAACGGAAGATGTAATTTTTTCTTCACGGGCTCGCCCCGTGTATAGGTAAATGCGTATGAAATAAATTCGCGCGTGCCATTACCGGGACCGCCGTTCGAAAAGCGCCGGCGACATCAAGCCCGGAAATTGAAAATTCGGAGCCGCGCGTTAAGCTCCAGCTGCACGATCCGTTCGTTCGTGTACATAACAGGTATACGCGCAAAAGTTAAACGAGCCGGAAGTCGCCGGTTAAAAATGAGCGAATCCCGTACACACACACACACACACATATATATATATAGTTGCATTTCGAGTGGATGCGTATTATATAATATTATAGAGTGAACGGAGCGCGTGCGTGTGGTGTAAACGGGGGAGCGAAGCGAGAAAGGGAGATAGAGAAACGGAATCGTTAAAGCGCGCTTCGCGGAACCGCGAGCACGAAAAAAAAAAAAAAAAAAAAAACGGAGCCACGACGACATTATCGCGCCGCTTGAAAGCACCCATCAGCTGCAAACGCAAATGTGTACGTATATATAATATGTATAGGTGCCAGACTTGGCTTGTATACATATATAATATAAACACGTACATGGTATATAGGTGGGTGCCCAAAAAAAAGAAAAAAAATTGGCCTGCGTCTGTTCTCGCGACGTTGAGGATTTTTTCTTCTCCACTGACCGAGACGCGCATGCATCAAGTATAAGTATTTAATAAGAGCGAAACAACGAGACGCTCGAAAAACGCATCCCTCAAATGTATTATTTTAGCCCCCCTCTGTTTCAAAGAGTTACACCCACCACCACCACCTAATAAATACATTTCCCCCTCGCCCCTGCCGCGCATTAGCAGTTTTACGCTCTACTTGCCCAGCGTGGACTCTTCCCCTCTGCTTTTTTGCTTTTTGTCTCGAGGGTCGACGACGCGCACACTATATACACGGGACGGAAGAAGAAGCTCGCCAAGGACGCGAACCCGCGGCTAGCTGAAATTCATGCGCGCCGTTTGCCGTTGGTATATACTCCGTTACCGTCCAATCCGACCCTTGTTGATCAGCAAATACAGCCTCCTAAAGTGTACAGTGTTTGCGCGGCCAAACAAATTAAGTAGACACGTTTTATCAAGCAATCGCCTCCCCCCCCCTCTCTTGACTCGGACGCCCCGAAATCGCGTAGCACTTGACGCTTGTGACGTTATGGTATTTATCATATTGTATACCATAACAGCACGCAACCCAGTGGCAAAAGGATGATTGCTAGGCGTGTGTTTTTCGACGCCGGTTACAGTTGCCGTTTCGAGGATTTATGTGCCTCCCCCCACTGGGACCTCGACTCCTCTTTTTTTGTTTGCGCGCTTTGTTGACGCCTATGCTGCTTATAGTGTTTGTTTTTTCAGAGGAGGATCCAGGGAGCAGCAAGTTGTACCCGATACAAATGGGGGATGAGATCAACCCCACCCCCGACCAGATCCCGAGGTCTCTTTCGTCGAGATTCGTTTGGTTAATGCACGTTATTTGTACGTATAGTTACAGCGGAAGACCGATCTAGCGCCATCGATCTCCGAATGGGAACTTGGACGGCGAAGACTCGCGCTTCAAAGAAAAGGAAAAAAAAAAAAAAAAAGAAAGAAAGAAAGAGCCTTGGATTTGCGAATCAATCAGGGATCCATGGCTATACGTGTGTATGCATTGCTCGCGTGAGATGAGGATGGCTTTTGTCGTCGGTAATCGAGTCTAACGCGTTGTACGAGCCAAACTCGAGCAGAGATAAAAGGGCGAGGGGTGCACTCGGAAAAGTTGGGGGGAGGGGGTGGATCGAGATGAGAACAAAAAAAAACATACGGAAAATCAATGGACGAGGCATGGGTGTGTGACGATTGGACGAGTGGGACTTGAAATCGAGCGAGAGACTAGTGATACAAGTACATAATATGTAAATTTAGTCGAGAGATTCACCATCTGCAGCGCGCATGACGTTCCAAGGGTAAGTTGTTGCTGCTGGGAGACGAAATAACAGCCATAACGAGTTGCACTTGCATCAGCTACGCTCGCCGAAATATACCCATTGGTGCATTTATATGTGGGTATACTTAAATATATACGTATATAGGTAGACGGACAGACAGACAAAGTGTGTCCCCTTTCTGTCCTTAATCTCTCTCTCTCTCTCTCCTCTTGCTTCGTCGCGCGAAATTTGTCACAATTTTGAGATTGCTGCAGACGTCACATCCGAACGAACATAATAATATATAGTGCGCGGCACTTTACCGATTCACACCACCTACCCATTTTTGATGCTCGTAGTCGTGTATACTGGCTGCCCTTACGCCATACACTTCACGTCTCGGGTACACCCCTATACTTCCCTAATCTTATTCTTTCTTTCTTTTTCTCTTGGTCGCGCGTATTTATACGTACGTTATTGTGCATCACGTATATGTACATACTACAAGTGTATATTGTGTATATGTATACAAGACTCTCGTCGCGAAGCTTACGTCACCATCCTCTTGGCCACCGCGAGCGCCTACTTGTCATATTATATATATACACATCTCCCGATGTCTGTCTGGCTGCACCACCTTCATCACACCACCCCAACAACCAACTACATACACTTTACCACCATCACCATTTATTATTGTAACTATTATTATTATTATTGTTATTGTTATTCATGGCAGCAATGGTACCAACACTTGCTCTTGGCGGCAAATCGGTAATACCTATATAGGGCGAGCGCTACCACCTTGGCCCAGTATTGTTATAATAAGCCGCGCCGATCGTCGCACTCGACTCGTTTTCCTCATCGTCGTTCACTTTACCACCACACACTTTTTGTATATATACATATATGTGTGTGTAAAATCCACTCTGGCAAATTTCGTCGGTTCGCCCCTACTCCCCTCCTAGCCCCTACTTTACACTTTAGGCCAATTTTGCACTGATGCTACTGCCACTATACGCAAAGCATATATACTCGTACTCGTCTCTCTAATACCGATCTTCCGGCAACATGTAGGTACCTTATACCTATTATCATACGTAAAATACGTGTTCTCGTTATGTATAGGTACATGTAGATGACAGAGTTGCGATGCTCGGTCAACCGTACACAAAGTATCGTGCATCACTATTCAAATTGCTCGGCTAGCTATGCGATGATGACACCATATGCATATGTATGTGTGTATAGGTAGATGAACGAGGGCGCCCGTTCCTTTTGCTCGACAATTCGGCTGTTACTTACTACTGCCAGACAAGCACAAGTATAAGTAGGTATACACGACATATTCAGAGATGCGAGGAGGAGGAGAGGATTATTTTCGTCAAGCGCGTCGCGTGTCTTGTCCGATTTTCGCGCCGCCGGTGGCGCGCACCCATACTCGCACACATTTGTTTGTTTGTACAAATGATGATGGACACAGAGATATTATAATAAATATGGTCGTTGGAATTAGTTGAATAAAAGCACAAGCACTCGTTGATTCGGGTGCAGGTCCAGTTTAAAAGAAAAAATCGTTACCGGACAAAGTGGCGCGTAATCGTCGATCGGAAGCTGACCGCGAGTAGCCCGGAGTTGCGCGCGGTCCGGACTACCACCCAACTCTGCGGGTTTCGGCAGCATCACGCACGGCTCGAGCTTGGCTCGTGCGCCCGCGCTGCTGCACGGCTGACCCTGGCAGTGAGGGCCGCTTGCGCAGAGCTCTCCTCCTCCTTCTCCTCGCCGCCTCACCCGCGATACTATTCTCTCTGTACCCACCATGTATTATACACGTATATATATATATATATATATATATACTTGCTTTGTACCCACTTACTCGCAGTCTGTTCCTCCTACATGTATACACGTATATGTATATGTGCCTCCCCCCCATTGTGTACGAATAGAGTATCCTTTTCTTTTCCGTAACGTTACCCGAGATGATGTTTTTCTGGTATGTAGGTATATACGTGCGCAGCCCCTCCCAGTGTCGCCCTCCATGCACTCTTGCAACGATTGTCCCCGTCATCCTGTACGAGATGTGGGATGGGGGGAGGATCGCGAATGTTAATCGCACTTGCGATTTGAATTCCCTCCCGCGGCTCACGGAAAGTTTCAACAGAGTCGCTTTGGAGATGAAGTTTGGGCGCGGCGTGGGAGCCGATAAGCTCGACCACTCTGTGTATATACTTTGATAATTTCATTCCGAAGGGGCGTCGGTCAGTTTTTCCCGGAGAACCTCTCCCGTCTTGGGAAATCCTTCGATTTAAACGGAGCGAAAAATAATTTTAAAAAACCCACGCAGTGGGTTATGTGTTATTAACTGAGCAAATCGGTGTATATACGTACAACCAAACGCGTAAAATCCTTTGTGTCATTTGCTCGCGCGTTACTACACAAACAATAACCCAGTAACCTTATGTACCTGATGTAACGTGCACCGTGTAAAGTTCTCGGGGCTCGAGCTGCATTTACTTACTCCCACCACCACTTGCCATCATTTTTACTTTGAAAGTTATAGGAAAAAGGGATATGAGACTTATTATATATATATATAGTGCTTTACGTCCGGCTCCTTTTAATAAGGGCACTACTATGGGCACTTAGCACTTGGGAGAAGGAAGGGAAGAGGGATTGGGAGGCCTCTCAATACTGCGAGGGGGGTATAGTAGGAAATTAGGCAATTTTGCTGCGAGAAGGTCGCCTAAACCCTCCTCGAGGAGCATTGCGTGGTGAAAAAGCACATGAGAGAATCACAGAGGTACTTGTCCGAAAAAGTCGCACTATGGCCGGGAATCGAACCACGGTTTCCCGCGTGCCAATCCACGACCTAGCCGACCGAGCCACCGTGCGCTCTATATATATATAATGTCGTCGTGTGGCAAGAAATTGGGGTGGGTAGGTATAGGTACCTATATATAACATCGTACGACGGAGTGACGATCTTCTTCCTTCGACATTAGCTCCCGAGGAAAGAAACGATTTTCGAAGTTGAGCTAAAGACAACGAGAGGCTCGATCGGTGGGGGTTAGTGAGGCGACACGAATCTCCTCCTCTCCCCTGTACCCCATCATCCTCGCAAATCGAACAAAAGAGAGGGAGGGAGGGAGGGAGGGGGGAAGAAAGGTAACGAAACGAGCGAGCGAACGAGATTGGGGGTGCGTGTGCATGGTGATGTGATGTTTTGAACTTTCGCTCCATAGAGCTACTCATGTGCTGTACTACACATGGGTGCCTCCTGTATATAGGTAATACCACATATACATGTACATATGTGTATAGAAAAGGATATAGGGGGGTGGGACTGATGTGTAATAATGTCTCTTGATTACACGGTGTTTGGGCTTAGTTGACACTTTCTCCATTCCCCTTTCTGCTGATGTTGCTGTTCCGCCGCTTAAGGCACATATATGTATATATATATACCTACTGTATAATTACACACCAACTGCTAATGGCGATCTCCCAATCGGGGAAAAAAGGTCTTGCTCAGTTCATACCGGCCATACATAATTATGTCCGCAGTATAGTGTATTCGTGCGCGTGAACAAGGACCAGAGCTTTTATTATATAATTTCAAGATTTGTTCCACTCGCCCGTCACTTCAACTGCACCGTGAAAAGTATATGTATATCCGCATGCGCGGTCGGAAAACTCTGCCCCTACAAATATACGTATAGACATGGAATTAAAACCAAAGGCTGCGCCGCCGGCGAAAGTTTCGAGCTGCAAAGATTCGCCAATGCTGCAGCAATGGGCTTGGCTTTGATGCCCCGCGCGTCTGGTAAATATCCACCGAAGGCGCCCGCGTACTCGAGCTTCTCGCGCGCGTCTCAGAGAAGAAGAAAAAAACTACATCTACTTAAATACTTTTTGACCCAAGCGCGTGTGTTTACCTATATAAGTACATTTCATTACATCACGCGCTCTTTACGGTGCGTCCGGCCACCATCGTCTGTCACTACTTTACCTCGCATACGTATTATATACCTATACTTCCACATCTCGATAAAATTTCCCGACCTCGTGTAGATTGGCACGACGGGGTATATATATTATGTTTTTCACTCTTCAATTGGATGCCGATGCGCCGCACCGGTTACAACCGGATATCCAATACTTATACACGGCGGCGCAATTGGTTGATTCTTCGGATGCTCCGTTGACTATTTCCGTAGTTCTCTTGGAGTAAACAAGCCGAGTGGACGAATCCCCGGCTCCGAGCACTATTTCATCTCTCCGTTCCACCTCTTGGCCACATCCCGTTCATTTTTCCCGACTCTTTCGTCCTCGCATGCGTATATATATGCAAATCGCAAAAGTTTTTCCGTATAATATTAATTCCAACCCGCGTCCCTATGGGACGTGCCCCCTCTCCCTCCCTGGTAATACTAACTGTAGTGTCCCTGCACGCATCGATACGTTATAATACACGTGCATACATTCGACGACACCTTTTCCATCATCAATCGAGTCTCGATGATCCACTCGATTGTCGCCGCCTCGTGACTTTTTTGTTCAACCAGTGGGACAATCCGTGCCCTTTGTTTCACTAAATGCATATACAAATAACCCGTCAAGCTGCCACAGACTGTTTTCTGCATGCGGCATATAGTTTGTAGAGAGATGGCGATTACTGAGCATACAGAGCCGAGGGGTTGGCAAGCTCAGCCCAGATCGGCCATCAAATGGGAGTTTACCATATATACATGGTATAATATAATGGTATTTGTACACGTGCAAAATATGCCATACCAATCCATCACTGCTTCTGTATATACATCATGTTTGTTAACTCGCCAGACCCTCAACACGTATATGTTATATATAAATAATCATCGAATAGTTGGGATGGCTGCGGAACGGGGGGCGAATCAATTAAAGTTTCGACAAACAATTCCCCCAATCATCGCTTGCGATACATATATGTATATCCCTGTGTTTTTGAGCTGTGTATATAATTATGCTCTATGTGAAAGTTTTCCCTCCGACCGAAAACGAGGCTTCGAGTGGTCATACGTACAGTTGCCCATAAGTATTATTACATGGGCATTATTATTCAGGAGACAGTGTCCGCATGTGTATACATGTAAGAAAACGTGGGTGGAGGAGGGGAAAGAAAAGAAAAAAAAAAAAATTATCAATTGCCAATATTGTCCGGGAGGGCGATAATGATGATGATAGAATCGATTAATCAAAGGCATCGGATTTAGTGGAAAGTGCAAACTTTCCGGCCCTACCTCTCGGAACGTCGTAGCGAGGAAAAGACGAGGAGTAACTTTGTTAATTTATTTTTACAGAATGGCGCGGGAGA